GTTACATAGATTTTTTTAACTCTAATAGTTAACTGCAATATCGGGGTTTGCCCACCTATACTAAAGAAGATCCGTATAGGAATTATACTATGATTTTTTATATTAGCCCACCTATACTAAAGATCAACCATCAAATCAAAGAGTTTAAATTAGAGATTCACAGACAGGTCTTAGGTATAGCATATAGAAAATAACTATAATAACATATTAGAATTAAATAGACAATAACTAAAGTTGTATATATGTTTATATATATCTTTATCAGAATATACTATGTTTAAAGCCTCTAAAAACACTAGTAATTTCTTATGCATCGAATAAAAGTGATAAGCCAAAAAGGCTAGCCTTGAAAAAAAATAATAATAACAATTACAATATTAATAGTATGAAAGATGGTAATAACAACTATAATAATAATAGTATAATATATAATAAAAAGTTTATTAATAAATTTGTTTACAAAATTACAAAATATAAAAAATATTTTATTTTTAAAATATTGTTTAAATAGATATTTGTTAATACCAAGCTTATTTACATAATACCAATAAAAGGTTTGTATTGTTTTTGTCTTTATCTAAATATTTGCTTTTAGTGCAATAATACAAAAAGCTTTTTTTTAGTTTCTGTTAGTGAACAACCATATTGCTTTAAACGCTATATTATAGTTCAAATTTAAAAAAAGCAAAGATATTAAGTTTAAAGCTAAAAAAAAAACAGTTAAGAAAAATGTCACAATATAAACAAAGGCTCTTATAAATATATTACCTACATAATCTTACTAGAATTGGTTTTACAATGGTATGAATTACAACTAGTTCAAATATTAGCAATATAACTGCGAAGCATGTGTAAAAAGGTTTCTGCAAATAATTCTATATTTTTAACCTCATGTCTTGAAATAAATTTGAAGTAATATGATAGTAGATTTGAGTATTTCATAGTAATGTTTCAGTTCATGTCAATATGGCGCAGCGACCTAGGGTTAATATTAATGATATTAATGATATTTGAATTAGTCTCAAAAAAAAAAAATTACATTTCTGAATTTGTTTAAAAAAAACTTTTTTTTTTATCTACACAAGTTTTGTGAATTCCACACGTCATTCTTACAACTTTCGCCTTTACAGTATTATACTTATCAATTTAAAAACTTGAAACGCCCTAACCTATATCTCCTATAATTACACTGTAACAAGGTCATTGTTAATACATCAGCCGGGAAAGAAGAGTGGGATCAATGAATGTTGATCTTAACGAACATTCGAATTATCGCATAATATCGATATACTGTATATCTTTAAATTGTATCATGTGACTGAATTAGAACTATCGATATTAGATAGGGTCGTTAATGAGTTGAGTTGAGCTATTACTCAACCCACTCCAACTTGGGTTGGGACACTCCATTAACAACCCTAATGCTAGATATCACAATTATTACTGTATTACGATTATGAGACTGCATTATAAAAAAAACATTTTAACTTTTATAAAAAAGTCACCCGGCCGGGTGATGAGAATCAATTTCGATTTTATACAAATTGAATTTGTAAATAAATATTTTATATGCGATTTATTTAAACTTTTGTCGAATTATAAAGGTTAATAACATTTTAATAACAATGTCCAAGTTTATATTAATAACTATATCATATTCACTATTTTGAGGCATGGCCTGTTTCTTTTGTTTTGGTATATGTTATTTTTTTTACTCTCAATAGATATTGTTCTTGATGAGACGTTCATTATAAAATCATCATCACTAGAGCTTCGATCCTTAATCCGACTATCTGAATTGAACTTTAAATCCAGATAGATTCAGATATCAATATCCAGATCAGAGATTTTTATTCGGATTGGTCAAAGAACTTAAAGAACGTACCTAAGAATGTGCTACTAACTTTATATATAATCTAATGCGAATTCAATCTGGATTTAATAGAATCCGTATTGCCTGTCAAAAATAGGATCATCACTATCGCTATGTATGTATAAATGGGATAACATATTACATCGGTGTGATGTAGTGCATCGACTAAAGACCCGGGGTCTACATACATATGACGCATTTAATAAGAGACCCGTTCAGTGCACTGTCAGTGCATTACCGTATTTTGGGATATCGGCTCGATTTAACGTGGTCATTCTAAAGCATTGCGGGAATTATATCGAAATGTTATGTAATAAATAAATTTGATACATATTTTGTATATATTAGTATATATTGTAATTAATCTTGTGAACCAAATGTCAAAGTATATATATCGATATATTTTGAATGCCAACTCTAATCCTCTTACTATAAATGTTAAATCTGCAAATGTTTTTTAAAATAAAATATTTTTTTTTGATTAAGCAGCATAACTGGTTCGATAATCTTGCCTTGTGTGAATTCGGGCTCGAGTATTAATTATAAATATTAACAGCTAGTAATTTGACTCGTGTTGTGATGCGAGATCATCTTTATATTATTTAACGCTTCATGCGCATACATGCGCACTGTACCAACCATTATTGAAGAGAATTTTATTTCACTTATTATGCCTTCGAATTTTTATGATATAAATACTTTTATTTTCTCTACGTACGTACGTATGTACCTTTTTCGATCTATAGTAATCGTTTCATCTAATCATTCTATAAATTTGAAAAATGCGGCTTAATTTGATTTTGTGCTTGGTGGTGTGCGTGGCCATATTTACAATTTCCTGTCAAGCGCTTGAAGCTTCAATTGATAAAAATGGCTTAAAACACAAACGAAGGGATTTAAATAGTATTAGAAAGAAAGCATCTTTGTTGGCTAGACAAGCACCAACTCATACTGCAGAGTCTTCTAAAGTTGAGGGTTTTTTGTTCTTTTTTTCTTGATCAAATATATCTGTTATCTAATCATTTATATTTATTTGCATTTAGAAATCATCAACCAAAAAAGCTGACTCGGTTGGCTCTACAATTAAACCATCTAATTCGCAATTGTCTAAATCGTCTAAAACATCTAACTCTATTGCAAAAGTCGCCAATTTCACACCTAGTGCAAATGATGTAAAAACCACCGCCATCACAATGACTATTTCTAACGCAACTCCTGCCACAGCTACTTCTACTGCACCTGACGGGCTTGATGCCAGCAAAGCCCAACCTTCTGACAAATCATCAAGCAACAATGGTAGCACTGATTCCGCTATTGCTTCCCTTACTACCTCGGCGGCAGACCCAAGTAGTCAAACGTCATCTATGTTAGAATTGGGATTTTTAAGTGTCATGATTGCTTTCGGAATCCTTACATAGTAGAGTATATATTTATAAAAAATTGATAATGATGGTCCAATTTTAAATATGAATTTATTATTAACCTACATGCTGTATTATACATACTGTGTGTGAATCAATTTTTAGATTTTTCATCAAATTTTATTCTTCTTATTGATTAATAATTTTAATACGGTCAAAACTTTTCTATTATCAATCTCTTTAATATTAATGTGTATTTCTCTGTTATTAAATTTTGTATAATAATAAGATTTAGACTATATTTCAAAAATATATACTACATATAGTTTATTAAGGTACGTAGTCCTTAAATACTTTATTAATAAAAATAGAATTTAATGCATTTTATAACCATGAATATGCTTTAACATATACATATTAAATATCGATATGTTGGTGATATGTTACTGTAGTTTGTAACGCGAGATTTATTTTACATATCTCGCGCTAGTTCATCGAGTCATGTGATAAAAGTTTGTTTAAGTTTATCATTTAGCACTGCATATAATACAAAATCTTCATTTTTAAAATTAATTAGTATCCTTATATAGAATCGGTACTATGCATTATTCATCTAATCTAAAAAGTAATAAATTAATGTACTGTAGTTATATCTTGGATATTCAAAAATTAGGTTGGTAAAGATGGTGAATCAAATCCGCTGCTAGTGAGTATATGAATCGAAAATCGATCAATAGGAAAGTTGCAACTAATCGATTTAAAACTTTCGATGCAACTAAATCGTTGAATGATTTTTTTATTCAAATAAAATTACACTAGGCAATGCGTAACATTCAATCAGATGATCGTGATTTGCAGCCAATCAGAAACCCGGAGGCGAACAGACAGAGTTCACGTGACCTTGTGTATCAAATACAGACGTTCGCTCCGGTGTCCGAAGCTAAATAATCGATATCAATAAGCTCGTGATTGGCAACCAATCAGAGATGCGGAAACGAACAGACAGAATCACGTGACAGTGTGGATCAAATATAGACGTAAAAACAGAGTGTCCTCCGCTACGCTCCGGACAATAAATGATGTGGTCGCGCATCTAACAAATCAAATTAGTTAAAAACATGTAACAACTAATCTGGAAAATCTTCACTGACCGAATCACTAGCCCAAGTATTAATCATGAGCAGCTGATGTGACTTTTTTTTTTAGGGAAATGCTAGGTTCGTGGGATTTGAGTATTGATACTGCCAGGTTTACAATATAGATCAGGATTCTGTACTATTGGAATTTAATTGTCGAGTTTATGGGTGTCGCGATTTTTGCTGTCAGAATTTTGTGGTAATTCCAAATTTTATAATAAAAATTCCAAACAAAAGGTTTTTTTAATAATTCTAGCATATTTTAATATCCCTTAAACTGTAAATATATCGTAATTAAACTTAGAATTATAAAAGTAAAATTTTATCACAATAATTGTAAAGAACCAACGGTTCTACCACAAGATCCCGACATCCAAAATCTTGAAACCATAATCCCGACGTGACAATTAATTTTTAAAGATTAGTAATCACATTAACAATCATTGTCAGACTTTAAATTTTAATTGCCACATCGCGTGATGTCAGTATTATAGCTTGTTGAGATTTTGGATGTCGGGATTTTGTGGTAAAACCAGAACCAACATAAGGTTGATTTTGTATGATTACTAATCATTGACAGGATTTAAATACTAATTGACCTTACCTTACGTTGGTCCAACCTTACGGTAGTACTTCACAATAATTTTTGTCATTAATATATGATCAATTTAAACTATCGTAATGAATTTACGATAATTAGTATATAGATAATTTACACTGTTTATATTTAATTGACGTGATGACTTTTATTGTACCTGCGTGCGTGCATGCGGGCTTTAAATAATGTAAAAATTTACAAAAATATAATTAATTTCGGGTTTTATCTTTTAGAATAACCAAATTAATTAAGTTTACAACGCAAATGTCAAGCAAATTTGCCTGAAAACGGTTTAGAGGATACTATATAATTACCGTACAGCGTGGTCTAAAAGACCCCCTAGTATAAATACCCCTCACAACTTTTAAAGGCCTAAAAAGTATATTAAATCGACAGTTATAATTGAAAGTCCAACGACAGGTTTTCCCTCGGCGACACTCATATAGTGCAGCCTATATCTCCTACGCTAACTATAGTATTCTTCTGACTATAATACCTATATATGCAGATAACTTGTAAAGTATCCCGGGAATTTTAGACAATGCTGTACGGTAGTTTTTTTTAAAAACATTCTATATAATGATATAATGAGTAAAACATATATAGACCACTCATACCATATTTACATTTGTTATAAATTGAAAAAATAAATTTTTATATATAAAATTGAGATGTGTTATTTTATATTTTATATGTATGTTATATGTTTAATTTACTAACTAATAATACAGCAACCAGAAGATGTCTAATACGTAATATACTTTTGTGCTATTTTAAAAAATAAAAAACAATAAAATCTAAAATTTGAAATATACCTACTGTATATATATAAATACATATACGTATTAGATAAAAAAAATTTATAAAGGAAATATTTCTTTTTAATAAGCTAATCACTTTTTGACATCAAAATAGATTACATTAATATAGATTTGTTGTCATAAACAGACATTTATATCAATCGTGAGAATAGATAAGTGTAGTCAAAAAAGAAGCAAAGCAGAAAAGAAATACAGCTTTATCTTGAGCATTTAAAACAATACGTGGAACTCAGCGAAAAAAAGAATTGATAAAGATACACTATTCATAATGAACAATGCTTAAATGATGAATTAGCATAATAAAAATTCACCCTTATGACCCTTATGATTTGTTAACTTGAAAAGTAGCAAGTAATATATCTGTTTGAAAATTAACGCAGTTTTGAACTTATCAAATGCATAAGCCCATGTGAATCCTAGAAAATACTTAGACTACGTACAACTTTCATTTTTTATATAAGCAAACCCCAAAGAAACGAAACATAACGTGATCACGTTTAACATGTCAAGTCCTTCAACAATTACACTTAATGAAAATCAAATCAACGACTAATTTCAGACAAAAATACATTGCTACCAAGTACAAAAGAGGTTCTCGTCCGTATCGATGCATGACTGCTTCATGGGTTTTAACCGACTCGAACATCTCAACAGGTACTGAACAGCTACTTGAAATGTACCTTGATTTTTATATAATAAATGCTATATCATTCGCGTAATCTGTACCCAAAGTCATATGAATCAGTTCAAATTTTCTCTGGATTATACTACCATTATACGTACTGTTTAATTATTTCTTGAAAATTGACAACTTTGTAAAGCTCTGCTTAAAATACACAGTGTTACGATCAATATGAAAATTTTTTTTTTTTTTAAAGAGCGGGTGCTTTTCCGCTGTAACTTTTATTAAATAAACTGTATAATTATGGTTACAACTTATCATTTAATGTTACATTAGATTAGGACTAATTTATCCTTGCACCAAATCTCTACCTAGTAAGGTTATACCTGTTTAAACCTATCTGGGATTTTTGCACTTCTGACTATCCTTATTAGTATTCTATGTATATTCTCCACATTACTCACATAAGCCACAAATATACTTCCAAATAGGTATTACAACTAAGGCCTTGTAACTGGGTTACTTTCTAATTTGGTGGTGGGCATTAGTTAGCTTTTCTTTCAGATCCAGACTCACAGCTCTCTGGCCTGTCTTTTGTCTTTATCTACTGACACCCTTTTTGAGACTTTTTTTTTTCTTCAAGGTACTTGCCTCTGCAGCTCTTACAATCGTTTATTTGTACTTATATGCTGTGTTCTTATTGTCAAACAGAAATTCCTGCAGTTGGTTAGGTATGACTATGTTGTATAATGTCAGGATGTTACTCCCAACAGGATTTCGTAATCGTGATTACTTCCAACTTGGGTATTTCAACTTGGTTGGTATTCTATTGTTAGTATGTTCTTGATACCTGTTCATATATAGTACTACCAGCTCGGTGCATCCTAGTCATTTCAAGTATTTACATATTTCCTAAATAAGAACTATCACTCTATACTTAGAACCTTCTAATTTTAGCTTTTCCATGCATATGCCAGAGGTGTTTTCAAATTTGGTAAGGCCAATCTTTTATCACAGACCATCCTTATGTTCACCGTTTCTCTCGTTACTCCAGTTTTTTAGTCACTGTTGTATCACTCTCCCAATCAAATCCAGTACTGTAATATTAGTTTAGGATTTATATGTGCAATCTAATAATTACCCTTCCAATCAAGTTCTCTACAAGTTGGGTGCAGGGATGTTGGTGTTACTTAATCTAGAAGTATAAGGATGTTGGTACTGCCTGCCTACAAGGACTTACTCACGTGATCTTCAGTAACTTTTAACCTTCTGTAGTGCCATTGCTACATGTGGTGCCTACTCTCCATAATTGGGTCTCCTTCCGGGAATTCCTAATTTAATTTTGTACTTGCACATGGACTTCCACAGGGTTTCACATTTGATTTTGGCTCCAATAGATTACAGTAGTAAATTAATAATTTGCCACTAGCCCAACTCAAACCGTTAACCTTGTCTGTGGGGGTTTGGGAGCTTAACCAATAAGCTACAGGGCCCAAACCCTTCAATATAAAAAATTGAATCAATAAACTCATTACAAAATTATCAACATAAAATTTATCTGTAATTTATATATAAACATGCCACTTGATTTATGTAAACATTTTGTAAACATTTAAGTTTTATCATATTGATATAGAGTAGCAAATCCATTATCATCAAATTAACTATATAATTTATAAATTTTTTATAAATTTTTACAAATTTGTAAAAAATTACTGTATATAGCTATAAAAACTTTTTGAAATAACATTTTATAATTTACTTGACTAATTTTAATGGTTTGCCACTATCGAAACTATGAAAGTGTATAATGTCAAAAGTGATTAGAAAAATATATTGCTGTTTAGATGTAGTTTAGATAATAAATATAGTAATTTTGC